ATCCGGCTCAGCCAGGGCAGGAAATTGCCTACTTCCTGAGCCAGAGTGGTAGAGGCTGTGGGATGGGAGCCAGATATTGGAGGGAGGAGGCATGTAAGCACCGGATACCTCCGGATTTTATCATCGGGCACATGGACTTTGTATCAGATGTCAAGAACTCATTTTGTGTTTAGCACAGAAAGATGCTTGGCAAAGAATTAATTACACTAAAACATTCTTATAAAGGTCATGGATGGACATTAATTTTCACAGATGGACATTCATTCTCAGATGTTTATACTTTTTATTCCTGAACCTCTTCAGTATGTGGTATGTGACAACATTTTAATTTTAAAGACTATCAATATCCTGTTAAAACTAAATTCTACTATACAAGTGTAAAGTACCAGGTTGACCTTACATCCTTAGTCCTTTTATAGACCTTCCATCTAATCCCAATGACACTAACAAACTAGTTTGCAAAGCATTTAACCTCCCCAGCTTTCTTTTTCTCATTTGTAAATTAAGAGTGTTGAGTTAGATGACCTCAAATATTTGGGCTCTAAAGAAAAGTGGCAGAGATCCTTTAAGTACAAAGCTATATAGAGGAACAAGGATAACTGGGATCTTGGAAACCTGAGTCTGAACCTCTGCACATCCAGTTATTAGATTTAGGGCATTGCAAACATTCTCTAATCTTGTCAAGGTAGTTTCAATATTTGTGACTGGAATAATATTTGAATTATATGGTTGTTGTACAGCTAAATGAGATAGGTCATTAAAGTCTCTGACAGACCTGTTTTTAATAGCTGTTCCTTTTCCCTGCCCCCTTTCTTCCAGTATTATGTAGACTTAATAGATTTTACTACCTTTTATTAGAAAAAAACACAACAACAACTAGAAATCAGATGGTAGTGCTGATAAAAGAAAAATTAATATACAGGAGGATCTATGTAAAGACAGTTGGATTTTTGACAAGCAAAAATAAGGACGAAGTGCTATTGGTGGAAGTGGAGTTCCTGGGGTGCTACAGGGAAAAGAATTTCCTGAGGCCCCCATGGGAGGATGGAGTACCATGGGAAGATTTATTGATGGTGTAAAATTAAGGGGTTTCCCTCCAAGGTCCCATCTCTGGCTGTCCAGCCGTGGAAGTAGTCCCATCTTGACTTTAGCAGGACTAGAATTAAGGCCACTGCCCAGAATTTCTGCTCCACATTAAAGTTCAGTCCAGTCCAGCATCTGGCTAGCTTAGCTTGTATTCCCAGGTGCAGTCCATTGCATGTGGGTTCTGCATGGCCATGGGCTACGGGGCTGCTTAAGGTCACATGGCTGTGGAGACTAGCACACAGGAGAACTGGAACAAGGAAGCAAGAGCAAGCAAGAGAGAGCAAAAGGAAGGGGCAACTCTTTGTCTTGGGTCTTACCCTTCCGAGATTTCCTGTGCTTTGATAGGGCCCACCCTCCTAGCCAATGATCTTTTTCTCAGGCTAGACTGACAAGCACCTTCCCTACATACCCCAGCTTTACTGCACATGTGCCCATCTCCCCTTTGTTCAGTCCCTTCTCCCTGATCTACAGGGAATGGACTGGTGGTTTCCTAGGGAGTGTGAAGCTGTAGCTTCCTGGTGAAGCTGCCCAGATGACCATGCTTATAATGTCTGGCCTCCCCTTTGCTCTCTTCCTATTAACATTAACTAGCTAAATATGATGATAGCAGAAGGACATTCTACACAGGGAAGAATATAGTAATCAGAAGTATGATGGCTCTGGAGAATAATAAGTAGTAATCTAATGCTATTGAAATGTAGGCTATAGAGATCAAGGTTAAGATATATACTAGTATTTTATGTTTCTCTTCCAATTTTTACTCAGATATTTGTATATTATACATAATATTCTCTATCCTTTTTTTTCCTTTTAAAAATATCTTGGAGCCCTGGCCTGGTGGCTCAGTTCATTGGAATGTCATTCTGTGCAACAAAAAAAGTGGCAGATTCCATTCCAGTCTGGGCACATACCTAGGTTGTGGGTTTGATCCAGGTGGGTGTGTACTGGAGGCAATCGATCGATGTTTCTTTTTCTCTTCAATGTTTCTCTATCCCTTCCTTTCTCTCTCAAATCAATAAAAAAGATATCCTATCCACTGGTGAGGATTAAAAAAACAACAACATATTTTGGAGATCATCATATATCTGTACATAAAATTTCTTTATTTACTATTTATAATATAACATTATATTTATGCACTACAATTTGTATAAGCAGTACTCTATGGATGGATATTTAGATGATTACAATATTTTGCTTTTATAAACAAGGTTGCAGTGAATAATCTTGCTTATATATCATTTTACCACATGTGTGAGTAAATCTGTAGGCTATAGTTCTAAATGTGGAATTGCTGATTAAAGGCATGTGTATTTGTAGTTTTGATAAGTATGGTCAAAATGCCCTGCCAACAGGTTTTATTGATTTGAGTGTACGTGATCTGTGTGTGGAGGTGTTTCTTTCCCTGAACTCTGGCCAAGGCAGAGTTACCGTACTTTCTGAATTTTGCCATTCTTCTAGATTTAAAAATAGTGTTTTAAATGTGGAAGATTAAATTTAAAGCATCATTTCTTGAATATCTTTCTATGTACTGAAGACCTGTCTGTATCTGCTTTTCTGTGCTTTGTTTCTTCACAATCTCCACTCATTAAGCTACTGGATTGTTGATTCTTTCCTTATTGATGAGTAGAAATTCTTTACATATTAAAGAAATTAGCTTTTTGTTTCTTATGCAAATATTTTCTCTCAATTTTTTGTTTGATTTTGATTATTATTATAATTCTTGCCATACAAAAAATTTTAAAAAGTTATATATAATCAACTTATAAATTTTATAGGGCTTCTGGATTTTATTTATTCTTAGAGAACCTTTTCTCACTTGAAAGAATATAGTTTTTCATAGTTTCTTCTACTTTTGTGATTTCATTTTTTACACTTAGATCTTTTGTCTCTTTTCAACTTATTCTGGTGCATGATAGGAATCCAAATCTTTTTCAGGTGTTTACCTAACTTTCTCATCACAAATTATTATAAAATCCATATTTTCAATGCCATTTTGAAATGTTCCCTGTTTCTTTACTATATTACTGTATGTATTTGGATCTATTTCTGTGTTTTCTTTTCTCGTTTATGGACTTATCTGTCTAATTCATGTGTAAGTAGCAAAATATTCATTTTGATTAGATTTATAGTAGGTTTCAAAACCTGGTAGAAATAGTTTCCTTGTCTTGCTTTAGTTTTTCAGAAATTCTCTGGCATTTTTACTTGCTTATTTTTCCGGATGATCTTCAGAGTCAGTTAGCCTATCTTCTAAAACAAAAACATCAAATTTATAAATTAACTGAGGTAAAATTGAGTTCTTACATATTTTTGTATATTCATTCCCAAGTACATTATATGCTTATCTTTATGTTCAAGTGTGTGTGTATGTGTGTGACGTATATGTACATGAATGTGTATTTTGTTATTCTCAAGAGAATTTTAAAATTTTCTTCATATTGATCTAATTTATTTCTGGTTAAGTGTATCCCTAGGTTTTGTTGTTATTGCTTTTGTAAATGGGATCTTCTCTCCTGTAGATCATCCAGCTGAGTATTGTTTGTATGTATAAAGGCTGTCATTGTACATTAATTTTTTTACCCAAGTACCTTGCAGAGTTCTCTTATTGCTAGAGTACTTTTTAAAAATTTTATTCTCATGTTCTTTTCCAGTTACACAGTCATGTTATCTGCAAATGATGATAATTTTCGCTTCTTTCCTTTTTTATTTATTTTAAAATATATTTTTATTGATTTCAGAGAGGAAGGGAGAGGAAGAGAGAGATAGTTTTAACATCAATGATGAGAAAGAATCATTGATCAGCTGCCTCCTGCACATCCCCTACTGTGGACTGAACCCGCAACCCAAGCATGTGCCCTTGACTAGAATCGAACCCGGGACCCTTCAGTCCGCAGGCCAATGCTCTATCCACTGAGCCGAGCCAGCTAGGGCTTCTTTCCTTTTTTATACCTTAGTTTATTTTTCTTATTGAATTGCGTTGGCTAATACCTTTAGACAGGGTTAAATGAAAGTAGTGATAATAAAAAAATTATGTCTCATTCATGATCTTAGTAGAAAATTTTTTCTGGAACAGTTTAAATATCATTGGAATTATCCATTTTTTTAAAGATTTGGTAAAAGTATAACATTAAGTCAGATGATGATTGAGATATATACTCCTTTGCATTATAACATGTATCATTCCCATTTTATTATGAGTTTTAAAAATCAAGAACACATAAACAGAGAACAAAGGGAAGAAAATAGGTCATGTAGTATAAATTTGTAACAGAAAACATGACATGAATGACAGAATTAAGACCAAACAAGACTGGCTCCCATAAATATAAGTGGGCAACTTACCTTTTTAAAATATCATGCTTGCCCATCCGGTGTGGCTCAGTGTTTGAGCATTGACCCAGGAATCAAGAGGTCACCTGTTCGATTCCTGGTCAGGGCACATGCCCAGGTTGCAGGCTTGATCCCTAGTAGGGGGCATGCAGTAGGCAGCCTATTGATGATGTTTCTCTCTCATTTATGTTTCTATCTCTCAATCCCTTTCCCTCCCTCTCTCTCTAAAAATCAGTAGAAACATTTAAAAAATTTTAAAAAATCATGCTTAATCATAATGAAAAACCCAATTCTATGTTTTATTTAAGAGTTATGCCTTAAATACTTGTCTCGGAAGAGTTGAAATGAATAATTTATTTTAAAACAACCCCTCAGATCTTTTTTAAACAGATAAAAAGATGTCTACTATTAGTTATTTATCCATCAAATCTGAACTGAATGTGTCTTGTTCAATCTAAGCTGTTTTCCACAATAACCATTTATAAGTTTACTTAGAATTTTTTTTATTTATTTAACAACTGATGTATTCTGTCTGGCTATTTTTAGATTAGTATAGTCATTCTTTGATCTTCCTTCTTCCCTAGGCTTACTTTTGGGCATTACTTCATAGGTGGCCAGAGAAGACAAATAAATGAGTGAATGAGGTATACGAAAATACTAGGGAAAACAATGCTATCCAAAAGCAAAGTAAAGTTATCAGGATCTTATCACTGCTAGAGATCTATGACTTTAAGACATCAATTCCCTTGTCAATCTTTTTTAAGCCACATTTTTCTTTTAATGAGATTATAAACATTTATCGGTGTTCATATCTTATTTCCCTTATTCTATACTAGAGGCCCAGTGCATGAATTCATGCACCAGCGGGGTCCCTTGGCCTGGCCTGGGGGATTGGGTCAAAACCAGCTCTCTGACATACCCCAAGGGGTCCCGGATTGTGAGAGGGTGCAGGCCAGGCCGAGGGACCCCACTGATGCATGATCAGGGCCAGAGGAGAGATGCAGGAGGTTGGCCAGCAGGGGAGAAACCGAAGGAGGGCTCCAGGGCGTATCCGGCTTATCTCGCTCAGTCCTGATCGGCTGGACCCCAGCAGCAAGCTAACCTACCGGTTGGACTGTTTGCCCCCTGGTGGTCAGTGTACGTCATAGCGAGCAGTTGAGCGGCCTTATCATATCATTAGCATATTGAGCTTTGATTGGTTCACGGCCAACCAGATGACCTGACACTTAGCATATTAGGCTTTTATTAGATAGGATGATTCATTTGGTAGTGTGGCAATTTTCAAGTCTAAACTGGCGAGTTGCTTCTTCTGGCATTCTAGTTTATAGTTACAAATACCAAATTCAAAATACATAATTAGTGCAATCATATTATATGCACATTTAACTCATAAAATTCCATCAGACAATCTGCACCAACTTACAATAAAGAAGAATACTTCGAATAAGGTAGAAGATGTTATCCTCAATGAGCACAAGAGCCAGGCAGGATGGGGAGATGTGATTCTGATCTTTGTTTCGATGCTCTCATGGGGGAGCATCTTAGCACAATGCCCTCATAAGACACATTTATAGTTACCTAGATGTTCTTTTACATCCTAATGTAAACCCTGCAGTTGTCCAGTAGCATTTGCATACCCTATCAGAAATAATTTTCTCAAAGGGGACATATGTAATACTTCAACAATAAAAATTTTAAAAAGAAAAAGAATTTTCTCACAGAAGAGTAATTAAATTGGAGGCCATCTGTAACAGCATGCAATGTAGCCCTCAGACTTGATTGGATGCTTCCAATAGGCATGACCTTTTCTCTCACAGATTCTCATAAAGTGGAATCAAAGTCTAGCTAAGGAGATAGGCACATAGAACAATGGGCAATACCTGATTACCATGGAAAGTGCAATAATGGAGACATGTACCAGTGCCTTATGGAGAAGGAGACTTAGAGCCATGTGGGAAATAATAGGTCAGCAAATGAACTGAAGCAAAGCATGAATACCAGTAGCAAGAGCATGAACAAAGGCTCCAAAGCACAAACGTATGCAACAGGTTTTTATTTTATTTTATTTTTGTTACTCCTCACCCAAGGATAATTTCTCCATTAATTTTTTTTTCTTTAGAAAGAGAGAGTGGAAGGGAGGGGGAGAGACAGAAACAGCAATCTATGACAATTATTTGCCTCCCTCCAGGGATTGAACCTGTAACCAAGGTGCATGCCCTTAACCAGAATTGAACCTGAGACCCTTCAGTTCGTGGGCCGACATTCTAACCACTGAGCCAAACCAGCTAAGCCTGCAACAGGTTTTTTAAAAACAAGATATTTGTTGTAGTTTAAAATCCAAGTGTATGTTGAGGATAAAGGAGGTTGGAAAGGAAGGCTATGTTAAAAAGTGAATTAAAATGTTATTCTAAGAAATGTGAAATTTTTTTTTTTTTACAAAAAGCCATCAGGTTATTTGGAAGCTGGAACTCAGGTAATTTTGGACTTCTGCATACAAACCAGAGGTGAGACTTAAGTTCAGATGTCCCAGTTCAAATTCAAAGCTCTTTCAACTCCACCAGACGACCTGTAGGGCAGATTCTAAGTCACTTCTCATTTCTACAGTGAGGCCAGTCTTGTCATTTGCTCACCACTGCACTGGCCATGATCTGCCACCTTTGGGGATAGCCCACCTCTGACAGTGACTCTGGACCTTTCCTTTGTTTGGTGTTTCAAGATGGTGGCAAATCTAAAGAGTTGTCAAAAGCAGACAGTTGGAATGTAGAGTTACTGGACTGTGAAATTTCTGTGGAAAATTCAAAACACCCTGCACTTAACACAATGCCAGAGCTGATTAGTGCAGTTTATTGCTAAGCCCCAAGGGACACCTGCAGGCTTTTACCTTCAGTCTAGAACCCCTGGCCCGAGGAAAGGTGTAATGCCACGTTAGTTCCGCACTCTTTCTATTAGAGTTTACTCAAAGCTGCCGCCACCAGATGTGTTACAAACGAACGTTAATTCTCCTCTAGCATCTGGATCGCATGTACAATGAGGGGGCAAGATTTATGCCCTGCTGAAGCATTCCCCGGTTTTTAGCACAGAAGTGATTGAACTCCAGATGTTAACAAAATGCAGAGACCTTTTAGTATGATTAAAAACATGATTTCTTGTTTTGCTCATGACAAAAACCATTGGATTAACTTATTAGAAGCGGAGCTGCCGTCCTGTTCATTGGAAGCTGTGTCTACTTTAGCTATTGGAGCTTGTCGTCGAAGATTTTATGAAGAAAGAATGACTTACCAACTCCTAAAATCAACAACTTCAAGGGCCCTCTGAAAATCAGGGGTTACAAAGGTAGTAATGCTCTAAGAACTGTGATAAAGATTTAGATGAGAATGAAAATTAACGTAAGGGTTTGCATGAATTAATAAAATTAGCATCTTCTCCCTTTCAATAATTGTATTATCAAGATAAAAAAGGGAAAAAATGGAAAGAACTCATGGGCATGGACGACAGTGTGGTGATTGCTGGGGTGGGAGGTGGGGGAAGGGGAGAGATGAAGGTGGAAGAGGGTATAGGGGGCATAAATGGTGATGGATAAATAAAATAAAATCAAGTAAAAAAGAAACATGGAACCACAGCCTTAGAGCTAGAATGATCCTCCAAAGATCATCTGATCTGTTTGTTGTTTCCTCAGTTCTTTCCTTTCCCCATCTTATAGGGAAGAAGACAATGGTTTCTTTTTAGAGTCAGACATCTGAGAGTTACAAAGAGCCAATGTTTTGATACAGGTCTCACAACCAGTAAGCAATGAACTTGCTGAATTCAGTCTTCTATTTTCAAAGTACAATATTTCCTCAATGATAAGATGAATTTTGCCCTTAATTGACTCTTTCCATAGTTGGAATGCATCTCGTATTCAGTGTGAACACAGCAAGTTTATTTATTTATTTTTGTGTTCATAGTTGTTATTAAATTAAGTGGTGCATATGACAGTCAATGGCATCTTAATACAGAAATCTTGTATTGATAAGCTATTATCTAGACCTTTTATTACTACCATAATCAAGGAATTTATAAAATGTATTATGCCAATGAGAAAATGCCTTCCCATGGAGATAATCATTTTGTGGTGTTCTCAGGCTTACCTAGTCAAGATAAAGGAGGAACTAAATAGCTTTTAATAGAAAAGTTTAAATAGAAAATATGATCATGTTGAATACTCTTTAATATTCATGACTTTATCCATTATACCTTTCAAGAGTTTATGGACTTACTATCTGAATAGTTCATGAATTTTAAGATGTTAAGTCATCATTTACCTTCGGTGCCTTTTGTTATTTATTCTAGTGTCTTTTCTGTGACTCCGAAGAATATAATAAATATACCTAAGTGTGTGTAAGTTAAAAATAGTGTACTCGTAATCATGAGTGGTTTACAACTTTATGGTTAAGAATTGAAGATTCAGGAAGTGTCTTTTCTTAAATTTATTTTTAAGTGCTTTACTGTTTGAATTGTTTTTGTCAAACTTGCTGTAGAACTTGGCCCATTTCATATTCTTCCCCCTCTCCCCTTCCATATCTATTCATACATTGTAGATTTAACTAAAGATTGTGTAGAGGAATGGGAGGTAGGTGTTCAGTTTTCATCATGAACTTAGAGCAAACAGTTTAAACACAGCTCTTAACTAATAACTTCAACATTCCAGTAGACATTTTGATTCTCCCCCCAAGAGTTGTTTGCTTTGTTTTGTTTTGGTTTTCTCTTCAGAAACATAGTACCCAATCTCACATTATTTTTTCTTGCCTCCAGGATTTTCTGTCAACAACTTCAAGTTCCTCAATCCCCAATCATTCTACTAGTAGCTTGCATTCAACAAATAGTTGAGGGCTACACTGAGGTAATAGGGATATGCCAGTGAACAAAACAAAATTCCTGCTCTCATGGAGTTTACTTCCTCCCAGGGGGTGAAGATGGTGTGTGTGGCAAATGCCAGATTATAAGTATAATGTAAAAAATGTATATCAGGCTAAGTGGGGAGAGAAGGAGTAATCCTTGTGTGTGTGTGTGTGTGTGTGTGTGTGTGTGTGTGTGTGTGTGTGTGTTGAGGACG